ATACTGCATCCAGTTTTGGTCACCACGATGTAAAAAAGATGTTGAGACTCTAGAAAGAGTACAGAGACGAGCAACAAAGATGATTAGGGGACTGGAGGCTAAAACATATAAGGAACGGTTGCTAGAATTGGGTATGTCTAGTTTAACGAAGAGAAGGACAAGGGGGGACATGATAGCAGTATTCCAATATCTCAGGGGCTGCCATAAAGAAGAGGGAATTAAGCTATTTTCCAAAGCACCTGAAGGCAGGACAAGAAGCAACGGGTGGAAACTAATCAAGGAGAGAAGCAACCTAGAACTAAGGAGAAACTTCCTGACAGTGAGAACAATTAATCAGTGGAACAGCTTGCCTCCAGAAGCAGTAAATGCTCCCACACTGGAAGTTTTTAAGAAGAGACTGGACAGCCATTTGTCCGAAATGGTGTAGGGTTTCCTGCCTGAGCAGGGGGTTGGACTAGATGACCTCCAAGGTCCCTTCCAACTTTACTCTTATTATTATTATTATTATTATTATTATTATTATTATTATTATTATTATTATTATTATATAGTACATACATTAGATATCAATTCTGCATCTGTGCAAACATTCTTTGGAATGGTGTGCCAGCCCATTTGATTGCATGTCTGGAGATCTGTAATTATGAAAGAGGAAAGTGCCCCATCTCCCCCTTCCATGCCTATCGTAATTTTTATAAAGCCGTCTAATTCCCTCTTTCTCTTTCCCAAGAATCTTTTTGTTTGCTTTTCCCAAAACAGAGGTATAAAATCTAGAGTCAGAATGCCATTGACTCCTCCTTAGCATTCCCTGTCTGTAACACAGCCAAGTATGCATCTGTGTATTGGCATCTGTTCACATACAGCCCTATCTAATCAGCTCTTTCTTAACCTTGGGCCATAGGAGTTGATTTCCAATAGATTAGAGTATCCCACCCCATTGTTCTTTCTGACCAGTAGTGGCCTTCCAACCTTATTTCCATGGCTCTGTTTCTTAGTATTTAAATTTTTATTAGTTTATCAAAATTTAAAATACAAAGAGAAATAAACATAAAGAGAAAGTAAGGGAGAAAAAAAGAAAAAGGAAAAAGTGGAGGGTAAAAGGGGAAAAAAGAAGGAAACACATTGACTTTCGACTCTTTAACACAATAGAATAAAGCAATGAAGTTATAACCATTTCTGTAACAATAAACCTACAGAATCAACAAAACTCAAAGTCAAAGTTTTATGTCCTTAACAGTTTTTGTCCTTAAAATTTGCATTTTTAAATGTTTTTGTCTAGTAATAACTCCTTTATTATAGCAAGCATTTGACAGCTCAAAAGAGTGATCAGATTGTTCATATTTGACAGGAATTCAGTTGTAGTATTAGGCCAGAACCCCTTTATTGTTGTTGTTAATTGCGAAGTCGTGTCCGACCCATCGCGACCCCATGGACAACGTTCCTCCAGGTCTTCCTGTCCTCTACCATCTTTTGGAGTCCATTTAACCCCTTTATTACATGGTGCTAAAGTCTCCCCCAAGAATCCATATCCAAAATTCAGCAACAAACCCCTAATTGCAGTAATACGTTTTCCTTCTTTAAAAAAAAAGTTTAAAAAGTGTGACATTTCTGAATGGCTTAATGTCCCTATTTTATTTTTTAAAAATTAAAAAAATGGTCTAACCTCTCTAAATTTCGCTCATTTATGTTTTGTGCAAAGATAAACGTGAGGAAAAGGATTGTCTTCTGCAACTCTCATTCCTCTCCTAGATTAGAACGTAGAACATAGAATAATAGAGTAGGAAGGGTCCTTGGAGATCTTCTAGTCCTGCCCCCTGTTCAAGCAGGAGACTATAACTTTTCAGACAAATGGTTGTCCAATCTCTTTTTGAAAGCCTCCAGTGACTTTCTAAAGGTAAACTATTCCAGGAAATTTCTCCTTAGTTCTAGGTTGCTTCTCTCCTTGGTTAGTTTTCATTCGTTGCTTCTTGTCCTGCCTTTAGGTGCTTTGGAGAATAGTTTGACTCCCTCTTCTTTGTTGCAACCCCTGAGATATTGGAACACTGCTATCATGTCACCCCGTGTCCTTCTCTTTATTAGATTAGACATATCCAATTCCTGGAATTGTTCTTTGTATGTTTTAGCCTCCAGCCCCCTAATCATTTTTGGTGTTCTTCTCTGCACTCTTTCCAGAATCTTAATGTCTTTTTGGTATTGTGGTGACCAGAACTGGATGCAATATTCCAAGTGTGATCCTCCCAGCCCCAGTATCATGAGAGTGACCATTCACTCCTTCCAGAGAACTCTAAATTAAGGCAGAGGCTGCTATAAAGAATGCAATTTGTTTTAAAAAGGAGAATCAGGGGAGATAAGAGATTTCTTATCATTCTTAAACATGCTTTTGCACCAAAGTATATGTGGGAGGTATTTGGGGGGGCTAATTATGGAGGCATTTCACATTTTGCTGTTGGCAGTTAAGATAAACTTTGCAGGAGATGAACTGAATTATAAAACTGACCTCTGAAGAGGTTGACTTCTCTGCAATTTAGATAAGACTGGCAGTGGAGAAAGGCACAGCCAGCTGAAAGGCAATTAACGGCAGAATGTTTTTCAACAGTAATGATCTTGATTAGGTGTTTGCTTTTGCTGTCTGGCTGGAAATGTCTAAAAAAATACTTGGCATGCAGTGGATGGGAAGGGATAATTCAAACATTGCCAAGAAATGTGAGAAAGAGACCATGAAACAAATGAGGAATTATTAAGAAATTGACCTGGCTCACAATTGCTAAGCTGTGTTTCATTCTCAAAACTATCCATGTTGGATACAGCCCAGATATTATTGTGCTGATGACTGAAGAATATATACAATGTGACCAGGATCTAGCTTAGTGCTTTTGTGATGATACAAGTCTTTGCAAAACTTTTGGTCAAGGATACCCATCCTGAATTCATTACAGTTTATCATGTTTTAGCTATTCCTGTTTATGAAATTAAAGGCATTCCATGTAATAGTTTGCATAGAGATTGACTTGTCCAGTGCAGAGTGCAAAAAGATATTGTTAATTGTGTGTGTGTGTGTGTGTGTGTGTGTATAACTACCCATCCAGTGGATTCTACATCATCATGCTGAGAAAAGGCGTTCAGGTAAGACAACACCCCTTTGGTTGTGAATACATCTCACAGGTGTGGAGAAGAGCATATGAACATGTGTTCACTGTGGGGCAGTGAATTTAGTTAATCTGAAAGTCTGGATTACTTAGGTAGGTGTTAGATCACTTGCAGGCTGATCATCCAATAAAGGCGTTTTGTCCAGGATGGATGTAGGTCACGGAATGATTTTAGCTGGGCATTTCATAGCAGTTTATCACTGGGTGCTAGTTTAATCTTATTTTGTGTTTTATATCTGTGAGCAGGTATTTGATTCATATCTTTTATCAATATAGCTTTTAAGTTAGGGGTCTTTGGGTTTATATCACATTAAGACATGGTGTCTTAATGTGATAAAAATATATAATATAAAAATATATAAAATATACTGCTTGAGAAATTTATGCAGTAGTCCATGAATAAAAACACCATGTCTTAATGTGATATATAAACCCCAAAACCCCTAACTTAAAAGCTATATATATTGCTTCCATACACTTCTAAATGTAAAGTTGATGAGATAGTTGTTTACTTCTGTGGATTCCAATGTCTGGAGAAAGAGAGAAAGCAAAACAAAATAATTTTCTACTGCAAATAAGAATTCATATATCTGAGTCATAAGAAGATATACTACTGAAACTAATTTGATGTTGAACTTAATAACAGCAGCAAGGTTATTGGTAGGGCAATATTGGAAGAAAGAATCTTTGCCTACTGTAGAAGAATGGACGTTTAAGGTGTCAAATTTAGCAGAAATGGCAAACATTTCTGCTTATTTGAAAGATCATACACAAGAAAGATATATTTCGGTTTGGAGAAGATGGATAGATTATATTCAGAATAAATATGGGATTAAAAAGTTTCATCTAGCTTATGGGTAAATTTTAGATTAGTATTGATAGTATAATAACTCATTTTAGATTTGGTATTATTATGGTTTAATTAATATTGACTTGTTTATATTATTCTTTTTGTTTTAATTTGCTTATATTTATCTTAAATGGGAGTTAAAGTATTTTATGGATTTGGTTACTTATATAGTTGGGTAATGTTAATTAGAATTTGATTATTAATTTGTAACCCTATACTCAGCTCTGGGAAGTGGGGGGAGGGTTAGGGGTGGGTGGGATTTGGGATATTGTATACTGTATAAAACTTTTCAATAAAAAAAAGAAAAAAAGAAGATATACTACTGTGATAAGTCTATTAAGACCTTAAATTACCACAAAAATGCAGAATAGCATAAAGTTGCAGTTTTCCCACAACAATTTATAATTTGTTAAAATATCTGATTTAACACATAGTTTGGAAAGGATAGCTCTAGTTAAGCCAGAGTTGGGAGAGACAGCCAAACCAAGATCTGTTATCACCACTTCAAGCTAGTTTTGCAAGCCATAGCTTGATCAGCTTGTGACTTAATATAATATCTCCAATATCTAGCGCGGACCTTGTTAACCCGGGCGACATCCGAGCCGGTATGGCATTCTGTAATTTACGTCTCACCATATTTTTGATGGGAGAGACACTCTTTGTCTGACTGCTCTGATGAGACCTGTCCAGTATGGTTGAACCTCTGGCATAGCTCTCATCTTCCTCTGATGAGACACAAAGTCACATTTGCCTGTGGAAAAATCCATTGCTTAGGAGAACATGCTGGGCTTCTCAAAGAAAATGGAGATGAGAATTGCATAAAATACAATTTACTTTCAGTTGGGAGTGCAAGTCCTGATTAGTATTATGTCTGAAACATATTCTGTGAGGTTCTTTGGTTGTAGTTGAGAACTGCAGCTGTTTGTTCTCTAGGATTCACACAGGAATGTTGCTATTTCTCTTTGTGACTGTCTTCTCTTTTCTCTCCCCCCTCTCTACAACAGTGAAGCTTGGTGGGCTATGGGATGGATGAAGCTGAGCAGGACCAGTACGAAGCCCAACTGAAAGAGCTCTTTGACAGCTTCGATGTCACTGGCACTGGCTCTCTGGGGGAGGACGAACTGACCGAACTTTGCCACGTGTTGCATCTTGAAGAAGTAGCTCCAGGAGCATTGCAGGAGACCCTTCTGCAGGACGGTCTCCCTAGGCGGGTAAGAGCATACACTCTGTAGGTGGGCACAGCTGTCTCTCCCAACCTTGGAAAGTCTGGACTGGTGGATCAGTGCAGGCTGTTCTTGGATCCAGAGGAAAAGTAGAGATTGGAATGGAAGAAAAGAACAAAGTAGAAATAATATAAGGAAAGGTTCAGAGATAAAAAGATAACATGCCATGTCAAATCATAACGTCACCATACAGGTACCATTGTGACTGAGATCAAATATGATAGTAATAAATAATGGTTTACAAACCACACTGGACTGTAGGTTAATGTAGCACACAAAATTAAAACCCAATAAATATCATTACAGGTAGTCCTTTATTAAAATCACAGTTGGGACTGAAATTTCTATCATAAATTGTTGCAGTTGTAAGTCAAGTCAAACCCAATGTTGCAAACAATGTTTGCAGTGGTCATTAAGGAAATCCAGCTTCCCCAATGGACATTTCTTGCCAGAAAGCAGCAAAAAAAGGTTACAAATTGCAGGATGCCACAGGATGCCGCAACTGGTCATAAATGTGAACTGGTTGCCAAGCACCCAGATTTTGATTATATGACCACTGAGGTGGTGCAACACCACTGAGGTGGTGTTGAGACTCTAGAAAGAGTACAGAGAAGAGCAACAAAGATGATTAGGGGACTGGAGGCTAAAACATATAAGGAACGGTTGCTAGAATTGGGTATGTCTAGTTTAACGAAGAGAAGGACAAGGGGGGACATGATAGCAGTATTCCAATATCTCAGGGGCTGCCATAAAGAAGAGGGAATTAAGCTATTTTCCAAAGCACCTGAAGGCAGGACAAGAAGCAACGGGTGGAAACTAATCAAGGAGAGAAGCAACCTAGAACTAAGGAGAAACTTCCTGACAGTGAGAACAATTAATCAGTGGAACAGCCTGCCTCCAGAAGCAGTAAATGCTCCAACACTGGAAGTTTTTAAGAAGAGACTGGACAGCCATTTGTCCGAAATGGTGTAGGGTTTCCTGCCTGAGCAGGGGGTTGGACTAGATGACCTCCAAGGTCCCTTCCAACCTTACTACTATTACTAGCTAACAGGTCATAAGTCACTTTTTCTAAGGCTGTTGTGAGTTTGAATCGTTGTTAAATAGTTAAGTTCAGGACTACCTGTGTGGTCTAGTCAGGTTACTGCACATAAAACAGGTGGAGTTTGATTACATCATCATGATCGCCAACTTGACTTTTTTGATCTTATCCCATGAACATCCCTGACTGTAGTGTAATATGCAAATGATGCTAATGTGCTTTGCTGGTTTTTATTGGGGATGAATAGTCAGCCCATTACATTGGAGGTCTTCTAGTCCAGTGGTTACCAACCTTTGTGGCTTGGCAGCCCAGCTGGGAAGGGAGAAGAGAGAGAAACTGGGCCACGTGAGTGGCAGGCCGGTGCACGTGCACAACTCAACTTGCCTGAGTGGCTGGCCAGCAAGCACATGCGCAAGTGCCTGCCAGTCTACCACTTGCACAAGTTGAACTGTGCGCACATGCGCTCCAGCCAGCCACTCACGCGGCCCAATTCCAAATAGGCTAATTCTGGTAGTGGGCCATGGCACAGGGGTTGGGGATCCCTGTTCTAGTTCAACTCCCTGCTCAAGCAGGAAATCCTATATCATTTCAGACAAGGGGCTGTCCAGTCTCTTCTTAAAGATCTCCAATGATGAAGCACCCAGAATGTTTGAAGGCAAGCTGTTCTACTAGTTAATTGTTCTCACTGTTAGGAAGTTTCATGCTGCCCATGAAATGGCTTAGGCAATTATTGCATTTTCAACTCTTTTGAAACCTCCTGATGTCATTTGTGAATGCAATCATACTGAAGCACATCCCGCAAAATAGATCTTCCTCTCCCAACCTGGCATCCTCCCTGGACTACCCAGCAAGTATAATCATACTGGCCGGGAATTCTGGGAGTTGCTCTGCAACTCAGGGGGATTATGCCAAGTTGGGGGAAGGCTGCGATAACAGATCTCTCATCTCCCTGAGTGAATTCTTTCTCTCTCTCTTGTGTTTCTACATCTACAATTTCTCGTTTTCTTTCCCCACCTCTCGTAATAGGCATTTAGAAGAAAGGCAGCTCCTTCCACTTAATGTATAATTTTATGGCCATTGCGTTATGGGTCCTTAATTTATTACATGATTGGCCCTTTGTGCGAATGCACCTGCACCTTTGTATTCTTAAAACAATCTCTCTTAGGAAGACAAAGCCCACGCTTACTCCACTCAAAAGCCCCTTTTCTGTCTTTTTCTTTGGAATTAATCTCACTTTGGTCTGTGATGTTAAGAAGTGAATCTCTGGGAATGGCAGGGAAGAAGCAAGAAAGGAGCTTTCTGGCTCAAAATGGGCAAATCCTTTCTTTCCGAAGGGAGGGGGGAGAATTGGAGTGCTCCAGCCTCCCTGAGGGAAGAGTCTGTATCTTGAAGGGCACCCGGGAGTTTGCATTGTGCGGAAAAGGAAGGGTTTGGATGATGAGCAGCGTGCAGTGCCTCCATTGTGTTAACAAGGACACTGGCTCTGAGTAACCCTCCTTCTCAAATGGATCTCCAAGATTTCCTTTTGCTGCTTGGCACACAACAAATTCATCACTCAGAAGTTCAATGAAGCACTAGCTAGCTTTGGGGAAACACACCGAACTCTCGGTATATATGACACCCTGCTAATACTACCACCTGTTTAATTTTCTGAGTTTCTTTGGCTTTACCATCCTGAATGCCCTCTAATGAAAAAGATGAATCTAAGCTAGGTACATAATAAAATCCATCTCTTTCGACTTCTGGGGCCACAAGGCTCATCAAGGTAACACAGAGGGGAACTTACATGGGTGGACAGGAGAATTTTCTGTATGTTTTGTTTCTCCCTCTTACACTATTGTCCTAAACCAGATAGTGTAGCAACAGATACAGGCCCTAGATCTGGTAGTTTCGCAACTAGTGGATGATTGGTTCATCTCATGTGCCTTTGTATTTGGAGAAACACCCAGGTGAAAACATTTTCTACCCTTGGCTGAAGTTTTGAAGGAGCTGATACCCTGCCACATCCTGGTTTCCCCCTAAAACTAGAGTCAAAGCTTTGGTCTTCCTCCACCCTAGGGATGATGTGGGTGAGATGCATAGGTTTCCAGGGCGGTATTTTTTACACCTGTGCTCTAATTGAGACTTGTGGTATCATATGATAACTCCTTCCAAAGACATTATCTTCTCCTATGCCAGCAGCATAGATATTTTAAATGATTGTATTGATTTAGCTTTAAAGAATTTTTTTTCTGAGGTCTAGTTTACTTGTCTTGAATTGATTTTTAATCATGTGTGGATTACCTTCTCCACTTCTTCTCCACACTGCCATTCAATTCAACACTTCACATGATTGCTGCTCCCTCTGAATGGTAGGTTTTGACTCCTGTCAGTTATCTGATTTAGCCTCTCCTAATCATTCTTCCTTTGACCAATCAGGTTTCCCAAGTAAAAATCTCATATCCTAGAGAAGAGCAGAACTGTCCTGCTGGAGAACAGAATGCATCCATTGCATCTAGTGGAGCCTATATGCTCTAGAAGATTCTCCTGCTTGAGCAGAGGGCTGGATAGAAGACCTCCAAGGTCCCTTCCAGATTCTATTCTATTCTATTCTATTCTATTCTATTCTATTCTATTCTATTCTATTCTATTCTATTCTATTCTATTCTTAGAACCTAGATGGATTCCATATAAATAAGGATACTCAGTATTGTTTTGTCTGTCTAAATGCAGCAATTCAGACAGCTCTACACAAACTATTGGGTTCAACAACAATGTAGAGGCTGCAGTAGCTTTCTGTAATTTAGTTTCAGAAGTTACTTTAATTACTTTCTATAATTTAGTTCCATCAAATATGGTGGGTCTAGTTACTCTGGAATTTTGTCATGCCTGCTGGGACTCCTGGACCTTTCTCTCCCAACTTACCTGGGAAATGGAGATATTTTATTTATTCATTTGATTTTAATGCTGCCAGCTCCAGAAGGATAGGTTTACAGCTCCAGGTTAGGTCTCATGAAAATACTACTTGTAACTTTTTTTTAACCTTTTTCTATTTTATAAGCTCAACATCACCTTGTGTAAATTTTGATTCATACATTTTTAAAAATGAGACTCTCAAAGTAGAAGCTGGGCTTTTTTTTTTTTTTAGACTCCAGAAAACCCAGAGGGACTGACATAACAAACACTTTGAAGGGAACATTAAAAATGTAATATTCTTTGGTCTGTCTTTGCTTTCCGCACTCCTGTGCTTAAAATTTTAATCTGCTGTGGTCTGGAACTGGCAATGTTTTTGCACTGAACAGGCAAGCCTACTCAGTGATCAGGCCTGATATGGCGCCTTTTGGCTAAGTTGGACTAGGAAAATTTTAGTCTTAAGACAGTGTTTCCCAACCTTGGTAACTTTAAGGCGGGTGGACTTCAACTCCCAGAATTCCCCAGCCAGCCATGTCTGGCTGGGGACTTCTGGGAGTTGAAGTTCACTCACCTTAAAGTTGCCAAGGTTGGGAAACACTGTCTTAAGACTAAAATATATTTATTGGTGTCACTTGAACTCTATATTGGGATAGAATGCGGCCACTTTTTAATGCTTTTGTTTAGAACATTTGTTCAGCAGTCCTCAACTTACAATAGTTTGCTTAGTGACCATTCAAAGTTACAATGGCACTGAAAAAAATGGGACTTATGACCATTTTTCACAGTTATGACCTTCGCAGCATCCCCATGATCATGTGATAAAAATTCAGGCACTTGGTAACTTGTTCATACTTATGATCATTGCTGTGACCCAAAGTCATGTGGTCATCTTTTGCAAACTTCTGACAAGCAAAGTCAATGGGGAAGCCAGGTTCACATAACAACTGGGTTACTAACTTACCAACTGCAATGATTCACTTAATAACTGTGGCAAGAAAAGTCAGAAAATGGGACATGACCAGACTCATGCACGGGACAGTAACTGATGCATTTTCTGGAGCCAACCAGACAGTTTTTGCACAATAATACAGCTTGTTTTTCCATGGCCCCCTCGGCACATGCTGAAATATCCTATGGCATTGGTTGAAAAGCATTCCTTTAGAGCATAGAGGCCCTTTCCAGACTAATACTAAATCCCATTTGTAATCCTAGTTCTTTTTTCCCCAATAGTGAGCTGTATAATGTTTCCCTTAAACTGATTTTTAAGTCCTGGTGAAACGCCGTGAGGCACAAGGTGTTAAGATATTTTCAACTGAATATGTAGAGTGAGATGTATTATTCTGAAAAACAATGGTGCAAGGTCTACATTTGATATATTCTACAACAGGTTCAGAGCATAATTTTTTAAAATAGCATCTCACTGTTCCTGAGTCTAATTGATGGCAAAAATGGCCTGGCTTTTACATGTCTTCTGATCCATCCGTGTGGGCCAGGCTGCATTCCAGGAACAGAAGGATATTTCAGAAAACAATTGATACAAAAATCCAGTGTTAAAAATAGCAATGAATCCAATTGCTAGAGTCTTGATTAGGAGCAACAAAGCCTATGCCGGGCAACTTTGATCCATTTTGTACTCGGCTCGCCCTGTCAAATTGTGATGTTGTTTCCCTCTCCACACCCCACCCCTTCTGAACTTGGTTTAAATTCACTCTTCTTAATCTTCCCTTTGAGCTTCAGTCATGGTAAAATTGCTTCATGTGATCCAAACCCTGGCCATCTGTTCTGCTTGCAGCTGCAATTTCAAGGAAGGAATTTCAACCCCAACAGAGAAATGTTCACTTCTACTCTGTCAAACGAAATACCCTTCCATCTTCTCATCCCCTTTCCTTTTTCTTTTTTAACATTACCTTAAAATTTAGTCCAATTGCATAATAAATAAAGGAGTCCTTGATGCTCTCTGGGTTTGGTTGTTTGCTTATAGACATTTCATTACCGAACTAGGTAACATCATGTGTGAGGAAGGTGGGGTTGCTCCCTGTTTATCTACAAAAATATGTCCTGCCAATGTGCTAGGAGTGTTGTTTTCTCTTTGGTAGTTCCTTGATTAGATCATTCGTCTAGCATTACTCCTTATCTAAGTGTGAGTTGCTGAATGTGCCTGGTCTCTTTTGTCCCCTTTTTTATTGTTCCTTTAGTGATGTGTAAATGTGATTTATTTCAATGTGTCTATTGATGGCTGGTTTGTCTGATTGTCAAGCCTCCAGGAATTCCAGAATTTAGCTTGGATACTCACAATTTCGCAGTTGAAAATATGGTTGAGTTTGCCCACGTGTTGTAAGATTAAGAAGTTTCCATCCTGTCTTATGACTGCAAGTTGATGTTCGTGGATATGTTGTACTAGTTTTCTGCTTGTCTGTCTACATAGTGGCTGTTAAAGTGTATGTTACAATTATTCCTCTTTTTTCTTCTGGGCTATTGTACTGGGCCTTTGGTCTATTTAAGGAGTTTTGGATGACTTTGGTTGGTATGTGATTCTGTATGGTTGTTATAGTCTATTGGTTGTTTCTGAGATGCTTTTGATATATGACAGTGCTAGCTTGTGTAGCTGTGTTATAGTGGGTTAATTGATCAGGCAACCCTAAGCCAGGGCTTTTCAACCTTTTCACCCATTGTACCACTTTTAGGATATGGCAACATCCGAGTACCACCAGTCGCCTAGCAAGGTGTCAAAAACTTGATGACCCCCTCCAAAAAGGAAAAAAGTGATAAAGTACAGGTAGACCTCGACTTACAACAGTTCGCTTAGTGACTCTTCGAAGTTACAATGGCACTGAAAAAAGTGGCCCCCAAGCCACAGCTGAGCAAGACACCTGCCTGCCCACCCGGTGGCGCTCTTTCTCCTGTCCAAGGTTTTCATTGTTGTGAGCATTTCTGTTGAGGATTGGCAGCGGGGGTGGGGTGGGGGAGTGTTTGGTTTTTATTCCCCCCATTTGCTGGGTGGTTGCAGCAGGTTTTGGTCACTTCACATGACCCTGGGACACTGTGACTGTCATAAATATGAATCAGTTGCCAAGCATCTGAATATAAATCACAAAACCCTGGAGATGCTGCAAAATTCCAGCTGATCGACACTTCTTCTGGGTTTAGCAGAAGCACCAGGATCAGCGCCAAGCTACAGCTAGAGCCTGGCGCTGATCCTAGTGCTTCCACTGAGCCCTGACAGCCCTGAAACTCCAGCCATCTCTCACTCAGGCTTGTGCGGTGCTGTCACCGGTTCAGCTCATTCCCCTCCTCCACTACCACTTTTCTAGGATGGTCGCGTACCACCTGCCAGGTGCCAATGTACCACAGGTGGTACCTGTACCACTGGTTGAAAAGGCCTGCTCTAAGCTACATATATTCTCTTATACTGAGATAATAGTTTTTAGAAAAGTGGTAGGAGAGATGCTGAGCTACTTCTAAGATTTTAGCTGGTTGTATCTCAACTGTCTCCTTTTAAGATATGAATGTTTTGTTGATAAAGGAATCAATCTGTTCTTTCTCTATGATTGACTGGACTGAACTTTATCACCAATGTTAAGTCTCCTGTTTGTTTATGGAGACATAATATGCAATTTTCCTTGATTCCTGGCTTCTGCAATTAATGAAATGATCTCTCTGTATTGATTAGATATTTCAACAAATGAAAATGTTCAGTAACAGAATTCTTTCTTTTCATCATGGCATCCCATGGTTTATTTTCTGCCACTTTGTTTTTTGAAAATTAAAATGAGATGAGAATAACCTTAGAAAGCTGCTTTTAGTCAGATTAAGTACAGGAATGAAGTCATGGACTAAAGATTACTGGATGAGTCTACACATATGCCTAAATTAAACAAGCTACATAGTATGTCTTAGCATATTGGTGAATCTAGGCAAATGTGATTTAATCAATAAATTGTGATGAAACATAGCTTCATTGCCAAGCCTTAATTTGTTTAACTGCAGTCCAATACATTATTACTGATCTGTTCACCTAAAATAGTAAGCTATAAACTATGGTTTACAAAGCAGAATACTGGATTCATCCTACATAATAAAGCAAACCAAGCTACATTTTGGCTTATCATGGTACATGTACTCAATTTTATAGGTTAGTGGAGTTAGTGGATTTTTTTTAAATTCTTCCTATGGACAGCCGTGATTTTGAAGCTGAGGGCATCCTTTAGCTCAGATGCTGTGTAAAATTGTCAGAAATAATATTAATGTGATCATAATATTAGCCTACTTGACCAAGCATGTAACAGTTAGTGTGATAAACATGTTCAAAGTATTGTGAACACTGAAAACATCTGAGATCAAAATTATGCATCACCCTTTGAAATATTTAGCATTTTCCTAATTGTGACCATTGGTTTAATTGTTAATTAGAATTCTGAAAAGTTATCAGATCTTTGAATATTTGGAATTTTTTTCCAGTTTACTAGTACCTACGTTTGAGAGTAAGTAATAGCATCTTAAACCCAATGTGCCTGATTACTTCTGTTAAATGTTGGTAAGTGTGCTGTTGTGTTACACTTCTTAGTTAGTGCAAGTGTGCTGTGGATGAGTAGATGACTAGATCTTGCAAGTTCCCCACCCCCCATGATTAATTGTAATGCACAGTGTGCTGTGCACAGAGCCCTGCGCTCCCTCCTCTTACAGTCAAGCTCATTTATTTTAAATGTCAAGGTATTTTTTTTTAATCAGGAAAATCTTCCTCTCTGCAAACTGCTTTCTTTTAAGTACACCAGCATTTTGAAATATTGGTAGCTCTTAATGTATAAATGAGGCCACTGCTATGAAATTTAATTGAGCTGATTCCCAAGATGCTTTTAATTACTTCTTGTGATATGCACTAAGATCTGTACAGTTAGATTGCATGTTCGGTTCTGAAGTATTTATTGATGTGGCACTGTTTGCGTGCATACACAAATGGCATTCATAGAATGGGTCCGTATTGCTTTAGTTTATGCTAAGCTAAAAGGGGGCTTGTTGTGTCCGCTATTGTCTTAGTAAGTTGTGTGAAGCAGGTTATTGCCTTAAGCCACAATATGATTGTAGGGGAGTGGGGAAGGAGGAAGCAGGGAATGCTGCGTCAATTCAGCTATTGTGTTTTGTTAATTCAGGTTTGGTGACAAACATGTTGTGTGAACTCAACTTTAGGGCTGCTATAGTGGTTGAAATATTATCTCCAGAAGCAGAGAGGTGATCATTCAATTTAGAGAGAAAGTAAATTGAATTGGCAAACAATGTTTGCATAAAACACTTAACTAGGTTACTATATAGTATGAAGCCAGCTTAAGCCCAGAGAAGGAGACTTCAATTCAGAACAAACCACAGTGCCCTTTCATAGTCAGCTGTTGTGCAAATACCGTAAGACAGTAAAAAGTGAAGACATTGTTCAGTCTTGACTCCGCAATACTATACAAAAAGAGCTGGAGTTGAAGAGTTGCTGGAAAAGTCAGTGGGAAAATGTGGGAGAGTAGATTAGAAGGGGAGGCGGGGTTCCTTGGAAGTTCCCAACATTTGTGAGACTTGGAGAAGGCACTTCCAATAATTGAAATAAGCCAAATTTGGCACCAAGTAGGGATAAGGCACATTTTGCTACAGTATACCAGAGGTACTAATAATTCCTTCTTCTTTTTTTTAAAAGGTCCACTTTGATCAGTTTAAAGATGCACTAATCCTCATCTTGTCTAGCACATTAACAAATGAAGAGTCCTTTCAGCAACCAGGTAAGACCTCTTTTGGAAATGTTGAGATTCTGGCAACTAGCAGGAAATGAAAAGTACATAGCGCAGCCAAAATTCATTTAGAGAAGTTTCTGTGTTTATAATGAAGTGTGAAGCAGCATTTGGGCCAGGTTGCTTTGATTTCCTACCCTAAATTCTCCTCCAAATAGGAACTAGTGGCTTCATAATATAAATATTCTGCTTAGGTTTTTTTTATTATTTTAAAGTTTTTATTGAGTACAAAGAAAAAAAGATTAAAAACATTGAACATGGTAAATTGTCTTTGACTGACATCTCAGTCCATATTGTACATTAATTACATATAATATATCTATATACAACTATACATTTCTGGTCTCGATCTTAACTTATCTCTTTGCTGTGACCTCCATCTACAAAATTTATTCCATATTCAATAAAATTCTGTTTCTTCCTGATTTTTTAATCTTTTAGTTATCCTGTCTAGTTCTGCGCAATACATAATTTTATTTATTAGTACTTCCCCACTTGGTACTTCCATTGCTTTCCACTTTTGAGCAGATAGTATCCTTGCCGCCGTAACCACATGAATAATTAAATATGTGTCCTCTTTATTTACATTATTCTCTAGTATTCCTAATAGTAATGTCTCAGGTTTGTATTGAATGTTTTGCCTAGTCATTTCTATTGCCCATTCCCAGATCATACGCCAGTACACCTGTGCTTCTCTACATGTCCACCATACATGAAAAAATGTGCCCTTTTCTTTTTTACATTTCCAACATATAGATGAATATCTGTTACACATTTTGGCTAATCTGGCCGGAGGGAGATGCCATCTGTAAACCATCTTATACAGGTTTTCTTTATATGATGTCGCCAATGTGATTTTCTTATTTCGCTCCCGTACTTACTGCCATTGATCCATATTTATATCATATCCTAGATCTATTGCCCATGTCACCACTATCGCCACTGGAGGCAGTCACATATCCCAATCTGTATAGGAAAGACAAGGCTATTATATATAAAGACATCTTGACAGAAGAAGGTTATTTAAAACAAAAACAAGAGCTAAGACAACAAGGAATAGACATGGAGTGGTGGTCTTATCTCCAGATACAAGCAAGATACATGAAGGATAAGCAAGAATGGGGTATTAACAGACAAGATACAGGGTTAGATAAAATATTGCTAGGCACGGAGAAAAAACAAATAAAGAATATTTATAAACACCTGTTGGAATATAAGCTATATGATAAGCAGGTTAAAGAAACAATAATATAAACATTCTGCTTAGTTTATATACAAGTAAGGAGAAGTAGCTACAAGCAGAAGGAGGGACATGTCAATTCATCAAAAGGTTAACAGGCTTTGATTGGTTAGCAAATGAAAATTGAAAACCTTGATATCAAGCAAATTCAGCTATTCACAGCATACTTTGATTTAATTTTTACAACTATTTTGGAGGAAGTTGCATGTAACATGGTGCTCATGGGCCAGTCCCTAATCCAGTGTTTCTCAAACTTGACCACTTGGAGGTGTATGGACTTTAAGTTGAAGGTATGATGGCCTCCAAAGAAGTAAAAGCAATAGCAATAGCAATTAGATGTATATATTGCTTTATAGTGCTTTATAGGTCTTTTTAAGTGATTTACAGAGTCTGCATATTGCCCCCAACAATCTGGGTTCTCATTTTACCGACCTCAGAAGGATGGAAGGCTGAGTCAACTTTGATCTGGTCAGGATTAAGCTGCTGGCAGTCGGCACAGTTAGCCTGCAATACTGCACTCTAACCCCTGCGCCACCACAGCTCTAGAACAAAGAAAACTGTTGCGGTTCTGATTCTTAGAACTGGGGCAGTTTTCTCAACCTTGACCACATGAAGATATGTGGGCTTCAACTCCCAGAAGCATGGTAGCTGAAGTCCAAATATCTTCAATAATAGATGTTCCAAAGACCTGTAGAGCAGACATGTCAAATACAAGGCTCATATGCAGCCCACGAAGTGGTTTCATTTGGCCTGTGAAGCCATCCTGGAAACAGTGAGGGAATGGCCCCTGCTGCCTTGGCCCTGGCCCAGGCCAGCTGGGAGCTAATGTACAATTCTGTGGTGGCCATCTATGCTGAAACGCATTCAGTCTTAGCTCCACAAGGCCGTCTGGAAACAGCGAGGAACCAGCCCCTGCTGTGTCGGCCCCAGCCCCTGGGTGCATGCTGGGGAAGTGTCACCTCTTGTGAGGAATGAAGAAATGCACCATGTCTTGGCACTTGCCCTGGTCCCACCCCCTTCTGCCAGAGACCTTCAGATCTGTCCCACTCCTGCCCAGGCCCCCACAGGCATCCTTGACGCGAACGATGTAGAGCTGGCCATGCCCACCTAGTAGATCACACCCACTTCAGCCACACCCACCCAGTAGCTCACACACACACCCCCCCCGAGGGCAACCACAATGCTGATGCGGCCCTCAATGAAATTGAGTTTGACATCCCTGACATCCCTTATAGTATTTTTACTATAAGCATTTGAGAGTTAGTCAACAAACTATAAGTACAGTAAACAAACTATGGCTTAGTGGAATGTATGAAAGCAATTTTTATGTGATTACAGTTGTTTTCTTTCAGGGTATAAAATATGACTCTTTTCCTTTGCATTCTGGCATTCACCTTTATGATCTCAGAGACAGTCTCTGTGAGATTTCTTGGCTGATATTCCAGGCTTGCCAAAATAAAGCTATTTTTGACCCATCTATCAGAGTTTTTTAAATGTATTTATTCAATTTGTATGATTGCCCCTCTCAGCTGTATGACTCGGGGTGGTAAGCAATCATTAAATCAATTAAAAACTGAACTGCAATCACAATACTAAAAGTTAAATACAGCTGACAAGAAAAACATTATAGTCTATCGTTGTTAAGGAAATGCTTTTTTTGCACAAAATAACTGAAGTTTGGAAATGCCTAGCACTAATGAGTCCATAAATCAAAAGACAGTTTAGAGAAGTGTTTCTCAATCTCATCAACTTTAAGATGATTGGACTTCAATTCCCAGAATTCCTGAGCCCCAATCTAGGTGACTGAGGAATTCTGGGAATTGAAGTCCACTTATCCTAAAGCTGCTGAGATTGAGAAAGACCATCTTAGAATAAGTAAGAAGACAGAGACAATTGATAATAAATGGAGGTTAGCCTCTTGAGCATGAACTATAGAATTAAAGGTACTGTCTTCTTTCCTGAGACAAGGGCTTCTGAGTAAGTGTGTAAAATGAAAGCTTAGCTTAATGTAATGAAATTAAACTTTTTACACTTTAAAATAGGCTCTAAAATTAAAACATTATTGTTGAAATGCTAATGAAATATTTTGGATGTCTTTAGAAACTGAAGGGACAGTCAAGTTGACTTTGTTTTAAAGAAATAAGTTTTAAAATGCAGTATAATGATAAGGATTGCAGCATACTGTATTTAGTAATTGCTTACAAAAATAGCTACTCAGGTTGATTAAACTTGACAGTAATTTGCAATGAAAAGAATGTGTGTTGGGACATTTCTTCGGCCCAGTCCTCAAGGCTAAAACTAGATGTTTGTGCTTGCACAGAAAATATTTTTAAATTATCTGGATTCATCTTCTTGAGTAGATATTTTACCAGAGGGCAAATAAAGAAGATTCATTTGGGGCATCGAAAACCCTAGGTAGGGTTTCTTTCCTTTATGTTTTCTGATTGCAACTTGAAGATTTTTGGTTTGGGTTTTTTGAGTTGAAGTTTCTGAAGTGCTAATATGTGGTCTAATCAAAGAAGTAAGAGTTCTTAATTCTAACTCATTTAGTCAATCAACTGGTCATTTGTGTTGCATTTAAACAGCCAGCCCAAAATGAGTGAGAGTGGGAAAAGGAGAAGATAATTGTCCCATGGCTGTAGACTATAGAGACCACTCACTCTCAAGCTAAAACTTTTGCAGGAATCATTTTCTCAAAGGATTCCACTCCCCAGCATTCAGTCAGAACTGAGGATGTTTCTTGGATGAGAAGTGAAACTTCTTCAAGAAAAAACAAAGTCAACTTGTCTTTTGAAAAAGCACCTTTTGGGACAACCATGACCTGGATGACTGAGAATCTCCATAGACATTTTCCTTGAAAATGTTTCACTTCATCAGAATTGATGCAGCTTCTTGGATGAGACGAAAAATGTTTTCAAGCGAAAAAAGACCAAGAAAGTCCAATTGCCTTTTGAAAAAACACCTGTGGGATGAAAATGGTCTTCTTCAATATAAGAAAATATACACAGCTTAAAGTTGAACTGTGGAGTCCTTGGTGCTCTCTGAATTTGGTTGTTTGCTTACAGACTTTTTGTTAGCCAACTAGGTATATGAAACATCTGCAAGCAAGCAACTAAACTCAGAGAGGACCAAGGATTCCTTTGTCTTCTTTACCAATACCAATAAAAATAGGAAAGAGCAGGGCTATTTTTCATTCTACATTTTGGACTGAATACATAAAAATAACATCGGAATAGGACCAAGGTCTTATTAACATATTATCATTTTCTCAGCTCGGTGGACATCATGTAGTTGCTGACCTTGATGTTCATCTTGTTCTGTTTTTTTTTTATTTAAGGTCTGTCTCAGACTTGCTCTTGTTTTTATTGTTCTTTGTATGCTGTGTTTTTTCCTGCTTTTTGAAAATTTTCCATGTATCCATCATTCCTACAATAAAATGACTGCATACAAAGTGATGCTTTTTGTTAATAGATACATAGGTATTGTTTCAGGGGTGTGGGTGTTTTGTTGTTCTTTCCAACCCAACAATATTTTGGAAAGAAATTATGAAAAGGGTCTTGTGACCCAGTCCATCAGCAGGGATAACTCTTTGAGACAAAACAGAATCGGACCAAATTTGGTATGGGGTGAGTAGGTGGCCAACAAGTAAAAGACTGAGTCTGAAAAGGTGTTGAGTCTAGCCAGAAGCTGAAGAGAGAAAAAATGAATGAAAGAAAAAAATCTCCCAATGCATTCCTAGGGGAGGGGGAGA